TTCGTCAACTATTGCCAATGCGAAAGACGTTAATGATGTGACTTTCAATAGCCAAGACGTTACCTCTTTGAACTTGAAGGAGAGACTCCTTGGAGGAAGAGTTTGGCTGGGATGAAGCTCTTGAATATCATCCGGACTTGTTCCTCGAATAGAGAGCATCAAGTATTATGAATCGCGAGCTCGAGTTACCCGTGATGCCGATCACTGTGCATATCGAAGGCAAATGATGGAGAACAACGCTCCAGTGACGATACCCACCAGAGGTGTATCTGCCCTATGGTGCGTCTAGCACTTAACATCATAATTCCCTACTCTGGGGGGGACAATATGAAAATTCTGAGAGAATTTCGGGAAATTTTCATTGCTTTTCGTACGTTTTCATCCGAATTTCTAAATTCGTGAGGAAACACCTAAGCTCGGTTATGCGAACATATATTATATATATACGGGATTGTTAATATTCATTGCTATTGATAACAACATGGTTGTTAATATTGTTGTTTGAGATTGATAAAGTGAATATATATTCCACCCACAGTGGTCTTGAGGTCATGACTAGTGACTTTGCCTTCGATTTGTCGTCTTCCCATTTCACCCTAGTTCGACCAGCTGATAGTTCTCCTGAGGTTGTATCTGCACTTGTGTATTTGCACTTTAGTTTCTCCCCTGCTCCGTTACATCTGTCGAAGGTCATTGGCTTGCTGTTTGATAACGTTTCTGGAATGTAGATTTGCGGTACTTTTGCTATCTCGAGAGAACGTCTAGTCTCTACGTTGACGACCACAACATCACGGAAGAAATTCCGCACGTCTATTGCCCGTTGGTGCTGTTCTTCTAGAACAAGTCTCAACGTGGAAACTTCTACAGGCATCAGTGAACGACACTATGTATAACAGAATCGATTGAACGACTTCAACGACGTCGCACTTCTCATTGGCTAACAACAAACACCGTACAGCATGTTATTGGAACATCTACGATGTCAGTTTCCTCTTCGTTTTTTTGAAGAATCTCTTCACCTTCCTACCCGCCGAACTAGGGCCGATGTGTTTCCACTCGGAGTTACTAGCTTTGACGGGAACACCTTTCACTTCCGGGATTTCTCCCACCACTGTCCAGTCACCATCAATAGTATCCTTGTTGTCGACTCTCTTCATTTCCTTATATTTATGCGGCTTCTCAGAATTCTCAACATTGAGCGTAGCCCATTGGCTCCTTTTTGGCGAGTCAGGAATTTCCGCCTTGAAGAAATCATCGACGAAGTTCAACGGTGGTTGCGAATTCCAGTATCCTGTTACTGGGGCCCTTTCCACAACTGCTCGTCGTGGTTTGGAATGCTCGGCAACGAAGCCGTCGGGCAAATCGCCTTTACCATATTGCATAAGAGAATCAAAGGAGGTTAGAGAGCTCCTCTCCGAGTCGGAGCTCGTTGGGCTATAGTCACTCCCATAGCCACTGGATTCCCCAGCGGAAGACTTCGAGTTCTGTCTTTCGTGGATTTTCTCGTACTTGACATTTAGCTCGTCGTCGTCATCGTCGACTCCCTTTGTGCATTTCAAACCGCCACCCAAACAAGACAGAAATGCTTTCTTCACTGCTTTCCCTTGCGAGATGTAGAGAACGAGCGGTCCGATTAGTGTCCGCGAGAACCACATCTTATGGGGAATGTGGAGACGGAATAGGATGGGAAATCTTTGGTGCACAATTTGTGGCGTGGACGAATATCTTTGATCGATTGTCTACTAGGCAATGCCTGGAGTCCTCAAAAAATGAGAAGAGAAGTCGTCACTGGGCCTGTTTCAGGGAGTAAATATTACTGTTTAGGGAGTAAATGGTGCATTAAACTAATAGCGCTAAGTACTAGTGTTTCAGTACGCTAAGTACTAGTGTTTCAGTACGCTAAGTACTAGTGTTTCAGTACGCTAAGTACTAGTGTTTCAGTACGCTAAGTACTAGTGTTTCAGTACGCTAAGTACTAGTGTTTCAGTACGCTAAGTACTAGTGTTTCACTACGCTAAGTACTAGTGTTTCAGTACGCTAAGTACTAGTGTTTCAGTACGCTAAGTACTAGTGTTTCACTACGCTAAGTACTAGTGTTTCAGTACGCTAAGTACTAGTGTTTCAGTACGCTAAGTACTAGTGTTTCAGTACGCTAAGTACTAGTGTTTCAGTGCACCAAGTACTAGTGTTTCAGTGCACCAAGTACTAGTGTTTCAGTATGCTAAGTACTAGTGTTTCAGTGCGCTAAGTACTAGTGTTTCAGTGCACTAAATACTAGTGTTTCAGTGCGCTAAGTACTAGGGTTTCAGTGCACTAAATACTAGTGTTTCAGTGCGCTAAGTACTAGTGTTTCAGTGCACCAAGTACTAGTGTTTCAGTATGCTAAGTACTAGTGTTTCAGTGCGCTAAGTACTAGTGTTTCAGTGCACTAAATACTAGTGTTTCAGTGCGCTAAGTACTAGTGTTTCAGTGCACTAAATACTAGTGTTTCAGTGCGCTAAGTACTAGTGTTTCAGTGCACTAAATACTAGTGTTTCAGTGCGCTAAGTACTAGGGTTTCAGTGCACTAAATACTAGTGTTTCAGTGCGCTAAGTACTAGGGTTTCAGTGCACTAAGTAGTAATCGTTTCATTCAAGTAGCGCCTTAAGTATACCTTGAGTAACTCCGGCATGTTATTTCACTACTTCAGTAAACACTGTAAGGCGCCTCCAGTTTAAGAATACTCAAGGCGCCTCACGTTCCTATGCAAATACTCAAGTATGTATGAAAAGCAATCCACAACATGCGTACTCAAGGAGAAACTCAAGTATTCCTTTAAGTAGAGCTGAGCCATTCGCTGTCCATCACACTTGTGACGAGTTTACAATCGTATTATAGTATAATAATTACACAACGGCGGTTCAAAGATCACTGAGACAATCGCGAGACGTTAAATAGACTCTCCGCAGAGATAAACCCCAGCTGGCCCGAATAACACGATGACCGAGATAGGTAGTTGTGAATGACTACTAGTGATAATTTCAACTTGGGAAATTGCTCGAGATAAACGTTGAATGTAGAATGCAGAGAAGTCAAATATCTCAGAAAGAATATAGAAGAGGTGATTCCTCATCAGGAATATAGTGAAGTAGTTTTCAAGGTTTTGACCACCCGTTACCGATGTGCTTGAGCCCACGACATTTATGCCATTCAGCAAGCCCCTCGATATCGAATGAAAATGATGTTCAAGAGTAGGTATGTCAGACGACCCGCCGGTAAATCAGAAGAATAGATTCTCATTGGGAAACGGCCGAGGTCTGAGATTTTAGATTGCTATCAACTGGTGTAACTCGAGAACTCCTAAAACTGACACCTCACATCTAGACATGTTATTAAACAACTTGGACATCGGCTTGTCATGTATCATTTGAAGAACTTGCGTTTCGTTCTTTTCTTTTTTCCGCTGTCAACTGATGTTTCCGAGCTGCTAATAGAACCCAGAGAGCTCCTACTAGTCGACCACGTAGGTGAGTCGTCTATGACATCATCTGAGCTCACGGATATAGGCTTATGGTCATTGTCCATCGGGGGTCCATCAATGCTATCAAATACTGGCAAATCGTCATGGCCGTTTGCTTTGATCTTCCTACCCCTTCGGAATATACGCTTTACGAACTTGCAAATTCCACCGAAACAACCACTGTCAGCGTTGTGGCTGAAGTCCTCCTCTCCAGCTAGTAATCGTTTGGATAGATCTTGACTCTCTGTAATAGTCCCGTATCCTCGCTGCGGTCTCAATTCACGGGTGAGCTTTTGAGTTGATTCGTTCATATCTTCACGAAAAGTCGGGCTTGTCTTCCCGCCAACAACGGCATGTGTTGATTGCACGGCGAGAATCGCAGCAAGAATGAATGAGAAATGCATCACGATGGCAGTACTCGAGTAAGGGGTGAAGGGAAAGCTAACTCTCGAGCGAAGCTGAACAGTTGCATGGAGGCGAGCGAGTCTACAGAAATACGTTGCAAGTGTAGATAACTTGAAGGAAATGCCTTCCCG